CCCCAAAACCCCAAAACCCCACTGGTTTAAAATATAAAGATATAAAAATATTAAATAATTAAAATAAAAATGTTTAAAAAACGAGAGAAAAACGTAAATCAGCTTAAGAGAACTCATTAAGATAGATTTTATGCCGAAGATGACGAAGAACAAGAGAAAGGTAATACCTCAAGCAAAAGTAATGAATAATTAACGCTAGAAAGTAAAAGATAAAAAATCGAAATGAAACTTGATAATAGTGAGCATCAACATCATTTGCATGGATAAAGTTGTAAACACTAGAATGATAATACTGACAAAAACTTTTCTCATTTAAGCACTACTAGATAAGAAAAATAAAGAATAAATTACGCATCATCAAAAGATTAAGCTTAATACAGATAATAACACGTCGACTCTGAAGTTAATGATTTAAATTTTAAACCTGTAAAAGACATGTCTAACAAGGAATCCGAAAATGCCACAAGACAACTTGATATCAATACTGAGTTCGAAAATGATGCAATAACTTAGGCTAAGAAGAACATTGAGATAACTAAAGGAATTATGGAAGGTAAATTGAAAACTGGAGTTTATAGGGGTGAGCATGGCTACATGAATCTGTTCAATCAAACTGAAGAGGATCTAAAACATAAAGTATTTACTGGAACATTAGGCCCCATTCGTGCTCCAACATTTATAAGAAATACTACTAGAGTAGATTATAACCCAGAGCTATGTAAGGATTACTTTGAAACAGGTAAATGTGGATTTGGAGATTCATGTATATTTATCCATGATAGAAGTGATTACAAGCCAGGATGGTTATTAGACTAAGAATTTGATAAGGAATAAAGGAAAAGATAGGCTTAATTGATGGGTTAAGATGTTAGTGATGAAGAAGAGAATTATGAGATTCCTTCAGAAAACTCTTAAGGAGAATTAGACGATGATGGTCTGCCTATACAGTGTAGAATATGTGAATAAGTATTTAGAAGTCCAATAGTAACAATATGTAATCACTACTTCTGCGAAAGATGTGCCTTAGATAACTATATGAAATCATCGGATTGCTTTAACTGCGGAAAGCCTACAAATGGGATTTTCAACGAGGCTCCTAAACTGCTGAAAAAATCAAATAAGCTTTTGAAAACGATCGAATAATAAGATGATGGAGAAGAAAGCCACGATATATAAGAAGGTATTGATGAAAATTAAAGCGATGAAGAGAACACTACAGTATCGAGATTAAAGCAGAATAGTAAAAAAGTGGATGAGAGTAGTGATTCTAATGAATAGGGAGTAATTAGTAAAGAGGACAAGGAAGTTTTCAAGCAATATAAAAAATAGTTTGTAGATATAGACAAGAAGAAATATACATCTCAAACTGGTTGGTTCATTCCTTGAATAATTAATAAGAAATCAAGCAATTAAATCTTAATTTCATAAATCTCATGAAATCTGGAAACAATTTTTAATTGGGGTTTTGGGGTTTTGGGGTTTTGGGG